TGGTTGATACGGCCATTGTTATTCCCTGTGGAGTGCAGCCCACTTGACATTGACGGTTGACGCCGCCTCCGCAGTAGCCTAAACTTTTTTATTGCATTGTGTGGGGGCTGGCGAGGAAGTGATAACGCTTCATTTACTCCTCTGGCCTCCGCAAACTGACATTGAAAGGCATTCCCTTTTCTGGGACAGCGCAGTTTTTTTCCTCAGATGAAAAAAAACCCCTATGCCAAAGAGTCTTTCATTAGCTTCACATATGGAGACAGAAACCTTCTTCCCGTAACTGTTTTTCCGAAGGAACTTTGAGTAGAAAGGCCCAAGAACTTCCTCCCAATTAAAATCACGTATTAAATCGCATCAATCTCCATCTTGTCCTCTTCCGGCCTTGTGGTAGGATATTTGGATGAATTCTGTTCGTCCTTACTTTCATCCAACAGTCCTTGACTCTTTTCGCTGGGCGAGCCACAACGATCAGTTAAAGCTTCTGTTTAATTTATTAATTAATGGACAAAATGGAATGTGTCATTAACCACTTGAGTTTATTGCTTTCCGCAACACATGAGGCTCAAATCTAACGTTAATGATGTAATCTGTCAACCACACTGGCCTCGATGACCATCACCCTTGCGATTTAATTTCGATCTCTCTCTCACTCAACTCTCACCGTACTGAAACCCCGTTTTATTTTTGAAATTTCATCGCACTTTCGACTTCACTTAAATTACGCCCACCTATGCACCTACACACCAGATCTGAAAGGTTTTCTGTCGTGACGATTGACTACGAATTTAACCCTGGCTAATTCTTCTTTTATCATGTTGGGTGTAGAACAAAGCATGTTGGTATAGATTGCCTTTGGTTCATTATTCCTGTCCATTGTCTGTATGTTTGTTCAGCCACCATCGCATACACGCACTTCAGTTTCCCGCCTGGTTCCCCTCATTCCGTTTTCCGTGTTTTTTTGCCTACTTGCGTGACCTGTTTAGGACACGAACTGCAATACAGAGTGGGAGACACTTCGAGTCTTTTTTTTTTCTACGTATAACTACAGGGTTTATGAAGACGAATCGCCTCCACCGTGACCCCTTTGCATGCAATGAATTGCCTGGGTCTTAAGATCGCGTAAAAGACGATAAAAACCGTCGTTATTTAGCCTGAACAAGTTCAGGTCTTAATAGTCCGTGCTTTTCCCCAAACGTTTTCACATTTCGTGAATGCCCACTGGTTTTCTATTCCTGAACGCATTGGTTTCTTTTAGACAAGGGTTACTTATATGGTCCCCCCATGTAGACCATGAACACAGGAACCGCTAACAGTAAAGGTGGATTTGTGTGTCATTTCAGCTAAATTAAAGTCTGTTTTTACATTCGGCCTAGGTTTACAGTTAGCCCTAAGGTCAGGATTTAAGGTAAGTTTAGGCTTACAATTAGGACTATGGTTTATGTAAGTCTTAGTGTTTGGGCACGGCGATATTTATTCCTCCTGAATTCACCTTTCTTCCGATTTTAAAGGACAATTTTTGTTCTGTTAAACCCCTTGTGCTTGATGAGACTGCCAGAGCCTAAATTAAGTATTTAAAGATCGCACAAGAATTAAGCCTGTTGTGTTGTGTAGTTACCATTTTGCCATTAAAAAGGAGTGCATAATTCATGACACACGCCTTAACATATTCTGCAGGAGAAGACCGAGCTCGCCGATCAGCGCAAGGCCAAATTCCATCAACCGGAGGGCGACCATTTGACCCTTTTGGCCGTGTACAACGCTTGGCGGAATAACAAGTTCTCGGCACCCTGGTGCTACGACAACTTTGTGCAGGCCAGGACCCTGAAACGTGCTCAGGACGTGCGGAAACAGTTGCTCGGCATCATGGATAGGTGTGTTTGTATGTGTGTTACCTTTTCATTTTGCTCTTCGCCCTGCTTTCGGCTGCTTTCGGCGTTTGCAGTGAGAGACCCGATTAAATTTGACCTTCCAGCGCTCCTGTGCATAATTCAACACCCAATTGGGCGTTTTACATGAACCACGGTCGAAGCTAAGACATAGCCGTCGTGTACAAATAAGGCTCCGCCGGCAATAAATGAAATTGGGACCATACGATGGAGTAGAACCGACGGAGAAAATGGCAACCGGAATGACCATTTCTGGCTTATTAGCTGTCATCACATAGGGCAAAAATGTCTTATAAGGCCCCCTAAAAATAACCCCCCGCGCCCAAGTATCTTACAGAATTCGTGGTTAAAGGTTAAATACTGGATTAAGGAGTGTAAGTGCGTGTTAAATTTGATGAAAAGTGAACACTGGAAAGTAAATTAAAACCACTTAGAATTGATTTACTGGGCTAAATATAATCAAGTCGACCAACATAAAATCCTTTGGCTTAGGTTAACAATCATTATTAACCACTGATAATAGTAGGCTGGCTGGCTAGTAGCCCTTGTTGGATCCGGAGCCCCGCCAGCTGGGCCTCAATCCCGGCGGC